CGGGGGTTGGAGGCGCCATGTGGGGGCGGTTTCGACAACTGTTAGACGTCCCGGGGCCCCTCGGCACCCAGAGGGGTGCTGCGTGTGGTGAAACGCTTCCCGGGCGCGCTGAGGTGCTGGGGCTGTCGCACCGTAATGCGGTGCCCGGCGGCGGCGGGCTGAGGGCAAGGTGACTCGAGCAGCGGGGACAAGAATAAGTTTAGTGCTTATACATGTTTCAGTATAAGCTGTCGATTGCTACTGGTTATCTTCCAACAGAAAGTATCAGCTTTGTTTTATTTCTTCTCTGATGGCTAGCCATCCTTTTTTAATAGGATTTTCCATGAAGGAATATGGGCTATAATTTTGCAATTGGAAGCTTAAATTGCACTTTTTTGTGATATTTTCTGCTTTATTTTACTGTCTTGTGCAGAGTCAGTTATGCTTACTGGGCACTGTGGGTAAATATACTTGAAATGAAAGTTGACCGTTTCCAGGGTAACGTATATTCAGAACACTGCTAATTTTCATGGTATGCAGAATCTGACATGATGCATATGCTTTCTATGACAAACTGATTTCTATAAATTAGCCTTCACTAAATTCATTTGTTAAACAATGAAAGCATCGTTTAACTGTGGAAGATTGCTGTTAGGTGGTTAGCATAAATAATAGCAATGTAACCTATTATAGAATAAAAGTAAAGGATCGCTGATTACTCTCTTTTGGATTTCCATGGGATGCATTTCATGGAAGATTTTTTGTAGGATAGATGCAGCAAAATGTCTTTTGTTCAAAGCGGTGAAAGTTTGCTATGTCTAATATTCCTTGCGAAAGTAGATCATGTCAGAAATTCCCGTTTTATTTTGTTAGTGCTAATGAGTAAAATTATTTCTGATTTTTTGAATCTTAGCATTAGCAACTTGGCATTTAAGAACTGTGAGGCATGCTATGACTAGGTTCTGTTCAATTAGGCTAGAGCTTCCATTGGAGAAGAGCAGTGAAAATGAAATATTTACTATTGCCTTCTGTAAATTCATTTTCATATTACGATTTATCCAGGTTAGCTTGGATTTTCTTATTTTGTCTTGTTTTTTTAATTATTGATAATGGCTGAGATATGAGTAGCAACCGAAAAACATTTTTATGTTTCGCATTTTAATCTGTTTTTAATTTTCTCCCCTATGGGAGGCCTATGATTATTACTTATTTGCAGCTGTTAATGCACATTCATTTGTAACTGAACTTGTCTTCACTGTAAATGTGATGTTGTTTCTTTGCTCCTTCCAAAAGAGAAATGCTATTTCACTGCTTTGGGAAACTGGAAATAAATCTCGCTTATCCTTTCTGCTTTAAGTCGCCTGATCTTATACCCTTTCTTTTGCCAACTCAGATGCTTGTTTGGACCCTTCCTTGAGCAGATTTAACTCTCATGGCCAGCAGAGAAAAAAACCTTCCCTGGGTTACTTTTTTGCTGTTTCAGGTGAGTTAAAATTGTTCACGGAAGAGTCCAACACACCCTGGAGTCAACACAAGATGTGTTGCAGGAGGGCACAGTTGGGATTGTCTGTTGTGAAATGGAAGAGGTACCCCTTTGGACCTTCCCCTCTAGCAGTCATGAACTGAGAAATCTGTCCCTCTGCCCCTTTTGTGCTCCTCCTTTTGTGGTTTTCCTGATTGCCCTCTCTGAGCCAATTTATCTCGCTAATCAGGTTGAGCGCTAACAGTGACAGTTCAGTTAGTGGAATTATCTCACAGAAGTTAGTTGAGAAGAAGAGCTGGGGCAAGGGAGAGAAGAGAACCATGTGGTCAGACTGCCTTTTTTTGTTTAAGGTTCCAACTATAAATCAGGCCCCTCTAACCCTGAAGGGATTCTTCACAGAGGCTATGTCAGACTTGCTTCCTCCATTAAATTTTCATTACCTTCTCATTTATTTCTGGACCAGCTGCTACCTCAATCTCTTAACACCTCTGAATGCTACTGCAGTAGTTAAGGTAAATGTAGTTTGCTCAAGTGTGCTGTTGCCTCCTCAGAAGTGGAACAACCCTGAGGTTCAATGTTTGTGGTCTGATATGGATGATATATTGAATATTCTGAGCCTAGTACACCTCTTTTTCATTGGTCTCCAGTAGTAAAATCTTATTTGTAAACTTGCCTAGTCTTCTATGGGGAAGCACAATTTAAGCCATGGAATTGCAGCAGATATTTAGCAATTGTAATAGCCAGATTCCGGGCTGTACATCTCTCATCAACAGCAGCAGAAGTATTTGCTGGGGATATAGGTGTCAACAAATGTGAATATTTGCTCCCAAGAGAATGATGATGTAGCTTCATGTTATATTTAAACGTCCTCTAATGGCAAGCTGCCAGTGAAAGGCTCAGACTACCTTTCTGCACCGCTTCCTTTGCATTAGGTGCAGTAACTGTGCAGTTTTACGACAACTTCTACGTTCCTCTGCCACGGATCATCTGGGAAATGCGAGCAGGGAAGCTAGCACACTATGTTGAACTCAGATGCAGGCATATATAGCAGAGATAAAATGATAATATTTTTCCCAATGGAATGGGAGAATTGTGTCTTTGTTGTGGCACAGTTTAAGATATTGAGATAGTCAAGTTGCCAAACCTTGGAGGATTTTGTTTGCTGCTTTACCTGTGATTTCATCCAGCATGGAAGTCCTTACGTGCTGCTTCATAATGTTGCACAATGTGTCTTTAACAGATGTCGTCAACTAGCTGAATCCTTGGAGTTTGCTCTCCTTTCCCTGAAATGAGTAAACGCAGAAAGTATAATCGCTGATAGTAAAATAGAGTGAAAGAGCTAAGAATTCCAGAGTTTAGAAGTCATATGAAATTCTGAAATTAATGCCTTTTCTATTATTTATCCCTTTGCATGTTCATGCTTAGTCCGTTCTCACTTTGAAAGTGCCTGGAATATAGATCTGCAGTCTTATATCTGATGAAACCCTCATCTACCAGAATCACTATATATTCCCATGGGTTTCAATCAAAGTGAAGCACAGTTGGAAACAATGACAACTTTAAAGAGTTGTGTGACCAAGAGTGGTCATTCAACTTCTCTAGCATTAATTTCCTTAAACTTGTGATGCCTTTTGGTCAGGGTGAATTGATTTTAGTTTTCCTTCAGAGCAGTTCAGAATTAATTGTGCAGCAAATACGTGCTGCTTTCTACCTCTTCACTGGAGCACCATGGCTTATGATCTTATTATCTTCCTTTGCCCTGCTGGGTTTTCTGTCCTTGTAGGTGAACCACAAAATTCCCCTTTCTAATACAGCAACAACAATAAAATAGCAAGGGAGAAAGGGAAATAGTTTGAGGTGTAAGTCCCCTTCCTCAGGATTTTGAGGACAGAGGTGCCTCTTCTGTTTATGGCATTTGGGCTACCTCCCACTTTCCTTTTTGTCTAATTTTGTACAGTTTTTTTTTTCAAGCCATTCATTTGTAGGTCAACTGTTCTTCAAAGCTTGCGTGACACGAGTAGCCAGCTCAGACCTTATTTGGAGGCCTAAGGGTATCCTGTAACATATTTTACTACTGTTATTGGCTTTGATTGATCCTTTTCGTTGTGAACAAAATCAAGAAGATTTTAATTTCGCAGTATGGCAGGTGCATAAACTTAAGGGAAAATTTCTGGTCTGTTAATACTAGTTATACTGTAGGTTGCATCTTCAGACTGTTAATAGCGTTTTTTAACTTAAGTATTTTGGTTTCAGATGGTGAACTCAATGTTCTGGATGACATTTTGACTGATGCTCCTGACCAAGATGATGAGTTATATAACCCTGATAGTGAGCAAGATAAAAGTGAGAAAAAGGGTAGGTGACTTTGGAGGTCCTACAGGAAAGTAGGCAGTAAAAACATCTGTATTAACAGAATTAAAGTCTTTGAAGTAACAGCTCTTAACAGCCTGTATCACAGAAGTAAAGAGTTCCAAAGATCAGTCTTGCGTGGGCATCTGCTTTCTCATCTGACACTTTGAACAGATGTTTAATTTGGTTTCCTTTTGTCTCAGAAGGAGTTGCTGAGTTTGGCTTTTTGTGAGTGTATTTGCTGCTAGAAAAATCACTGTACTTCTCGGTTCAATGAAGTGAAACATAAAAGGAGCAAGAGGATTTCAAAGTCTGGTCCTGCTCAGTTGGTAATTTGGCTTTAGGACAATTCCTTAAGCATTGGAATTAATGTTCCCCGTATATTAAATCTAGAAAGTGTTAAAGCCTATGAAAGCCTGAAAAATTGATTGCTATTTTTAAATTGTATATATTTTCAGAATATCGACTGTTCCTAATGAGCAGTTTGGGGTATCACTGTAGAAAAAACATACTAAGGTGAAGCTTAAAACTGGAAGATGCTACCTATGACTTTGGGAGAATTATCAGTCTAGAGAAACTAGGGATTTCTGCACAGTTTCCAGTTTGATACACAAAATAACATTGAACTTGATATCTCTTTTTATTTAAGGATCAAAAAGAAAAAGTGACAGGATGGAAAATGCTGAAAGCAAAAGACAAAAACCTTCTGTGCATTCTTCAAGGCAAATGGTGCCAAAGCCACCTAGTTCATCAGTTAGCAATAACAAGAGAATAGTGAGTACGAAAGGAAAGCCAGTATCAGAATACAAGAATGAGGAATATCAGAGGCCTGATAGAAACAAGCGTCCAGATGGTGATCGAAAGATGCGCATGTCAAGCAGTTCCAGGGAACCTTATAAAGGACAACCAGAAAAAACTTGCATGCGGAAGAGGGATATTGACAGAAGGGCAAAGTCTTCCACACCAGATGGTTCAGAGGTAGTAAATGTTCTTGCTGCCTTATAAATAAAACAGTTATATGAGACTTTTATAAGGCACATTCTCTTAGGACTGTGTGTGCATCCTGACAATGTTTTATGACTGCTGATTCACTTTTTTTTTAAACATCAGAGAATCAGGCATGATATGGATAGACGACCAAGCAGATCCAGCCATTCTTCCAAAGAAGAGGTGAATTCTGAAGAGTATTGCTCAGATCATGAGACTGGCAGTAGTGGCTCTTCTGAACAAGGCAATACAGAGAACGAGGAGGAAGGAATGGAGGAAGAGGAAGATGATGAAGGGGAGGAGGATGAAGATGTGGAAGAAGATGGGGAGGAGGACGAAGAAGAGTATGAACAGGATGAGCGAGATCAGAAGGAAGGAAATGACTATGACACGCGAAGTGAAGCCAGTGATTCTGATTCTGAATCCGCATCATTCACAGATGGGTCAGTCAGATCTGGTTCCGGTTCGGATGCATCGGGTAGGTAACTTTTAGCATGCCAATTTGAAATACTTCACCACTAAAAGTTTGGTTGCTTTTACAAATACCACTTCAGGACCAACGTCAAAACTAACTCCTGGAAGCACAAGTAGGATGTAAAACGAAATATCAGTAGGCAAAGGAGAATTATACTAGAAAGTAGCATCCTTTTACACCAAGACTTGTGGATTTCAGGACTTCCATGCTGAAGAAACGTAGTGCTCAATTGCTTCAACTTTGCTGTTTAATACTTTCAAATGTTAGAGTTAATGTTTCCTTATGCATCTCATGGCTTAGTTTCCTATGCAATGAATTCACTTGAAGCTGATGGTGAGTTTTTCTGCATTCATGTAGATGAATGGTCAGGTAGAGTGGTGTGAGACATAGTACTAGCTCCCTGAAGAAGGGATTATATTAAATAGTTGAGTCTTAATACTGGCTGCCTTCAGCATCAGAAGTCAAAATCTAGGTTGAAACGATTAGCTGTTAAGACAGGCTTAAAACCAAAAAATGCTTTAAGCAGAAACGAGAAACGGTTGCTTTGCAGTTGTCTGTTATAACATTTCGTTCTGTAAGTCAGGATCAGTTAATGTCACAAATACGGCGTTGTTCAGAAAATTTCAGGTTCATGGCAAACCCCTTTTTTCTGCATGATAGCTCAAATTTTTCCACCTAGTTCTCTTTGTATAAGTAGACATAAAGAGTTTGGATTAAGTGAGTCTTGAAAAAGGTGATCTCTGTAATATAAGTGGGACACACTGGAGAGTTTGTGACATAGTTTTATTTGATAAGAAAAAGGCTTACAGCCTTGTTAAGATTTGTCTTGCATAGCTTCCTTGTCTGAAGTCTGCATATGTGGTCCTCTTGTATAACTTAACCCCAGTCTTTTGGCTAAGCTCTGCTGTCTGGAAATAGAGAACAGGAAGGTGTAGTTTAAGACAAGTGAAGCAATAATAATTATTCTTAAAAGGTCTGCATAAAATTTTAACTCTTTTGAGAGTGGAAATAATTGCCTATGTGCCACAGTGGTTAGTTTTCATAGCTCTTGCCATTTTACTGAGCTTTGGGCAAACAAGAGGCAGTATCACTATCACAACACAGCTGGTGCTGTGCGTGTTGCAAATTTGGCTAAAGGCTGGAGAGGAGAACGAGAACACCCTTGCTTTAAACACCTCGTAAATGAATTCTAACCTTTGCATGGAATTTTTAGATGTTTGTCTTCCTTTCGTGCATGAAAATTTGGAGTATTGTTTTCTTCTTTTGTGCATGGTATTCTGGGAGGAGCGTTATGGAGAGCAACCAGGATTTTCATGTGCAAGCCAAATGCTAACTTCCTCATTACAGATATTATTTGCCTGTCTCAGTACTTTTTATCTGATTTTTGTCTGCCACTTGATCTTTACGATACCGCTGTTGTTTGTTTTGGGGGCTTTTAGATGAGAAAAAGAAGGAGAGGAAGAGAGCTAGAGGTATCTCTCCAATTGTTTTTGACAGAAGTGGAAGTTCTGCCTCAGAATCCTATGCAGGTATTCTTTCCTTTTATGGCTTGTTGTCCTGACTTGCATCAAATCTTATTGTGTAAACTAAAGTAAATGTAGCTGGCTGTAGAAATTTATGGGGTGTGTAGCTTGGTAAAATTTGGTATTGACTTCTGGCATGTTGTGCGTGGATACCTTTGGGGGGAAGTAGGCTTTCTTGTTACTTTAATGCTATTCTGTTGCTTAAGTGGAATTTTCACTTTTTTTTGTTTTAAACTTGGAAGATGATGATTCAGTGACTAGTTTTCTGAGTAGGAAACTGTTCAAATACTATTTAAAAAAAACAAACCCAAACCAAACTACCCAAAACCAAAAAATAAATCAAAACACTCGTGCACATTGAACAGTATTTTTTGTGTGTGTGGGTGCGCGCCAGAAAGCATAATTTGTCATGAATGAAAATTGTATGTGACAAGGCTGTAGAAATTGTATATTATCTCTATTAAGGCTCAATCTGAACAAATGTACTTTGGCTAAACGCAGGTTCAGAAAAGAAGCATGAGAAATTATCATCTTCCGTTCGTGCTGTCCAAAAAGGTATCATTTAAATTTGAATTTTTAATGCATGCCCCATAACAAGCCATTGTCTCTGTTCATTAAATTATGTCTAAGTAGTAATGTTCCGATATAATTCAATTTGAACACTTTACTGTTATGAGCATAATGAGTAAATCTGGAGTTACTTTTGCATGTTTTGAGTGAGATGCAAGAAGTTGTCCTGTTTTGCTCTTCGGGGAAGCAGCAAAGCAAGAAATAAGATGCCTGCCTTTGAAAAAAGGAATGTCTCAGAATGTCCTCTGTTGGAGGACTCCTGTTGATACAAATGTTTCCCAGTGTTTATCCAAAGATTCTTAAGCAAGGCTACAAATACTATATATCGGAACATCACTGAATTGTGCTTTTTTTTTTCTTTCTTTTTCCCCTCCTCTTTATCTTAAGTACTGAAGTTTTAGTTTTGATTTGGTTTCCCTTACTCCTGTAAAGCTTGGCATTTTGTGCTCTACAACTTGAACTTCAAGTTTAAAGTTTTGGGTGGTTGACTGTCTTGATATGTAGGCAGGAACTGGGTGGGATACAGTATATCTTGGAAAAAAGAAAAAAACTATCTACACTTGCAACAGTTTTTAAAAAACTGTAAATATTTACATTTCAGCTTATTTGACGCTTTGTTTTTTCAGACCAAACAAGTAAACTTAAATACATTCTCCAAGATGCAAGGTTTTTCCTCATCAAGAGTAATAACCATGAAAACGTGTCACTTGCTAAAGCTAAGGTATGTTAAATTTCCTTCAGATGATTACATTGACTATTTGCAAACACAAACTATACGTACTGGTATATACAGTCTTTTCTCTGTCACTTAAATCTTGGGTAGAGACAAGTATGAAATAATTACTGCTCCTTGATTCTTTAAGGCTGGCTACTTGGCTTCTATTATAATCTAGAGAAGTTTCTAGACCATCAGTCCTTTATCTTGGCAGACTACGGTTAAAAGGGTGCTTAAGCCGTGCAAGAGCCAAGACTGGAGTTCAATCTGCCACTGAAACTCTTGAGGGAGCAGTTGGCAATGGATAGCATCAGAGCTGGGTCAAACAACTTGCTATTTGAGTGATTTTTTTTTCCTCTCCTTTGGAAGAGGAACCTCGTACTTTTTTTGTAAAACTGATCAGTTGAAGATGTGTCCAGAAACAATTGCAAAATGCAATGAATGTATGCAATGTTGCCATTATTTGTTAGGCAAGGTGGAGATCTAATTTTTTAAATCAAGTAGAATAAACTGTTGCAATAAAGAAATAATTTCCGTGTTCACTCAGAAATTCTAAAAGGTGATTTTTGTGCTTTTTTAAGATTTTACAGCTTTTCAGAAGTTACTGTAAGAATTGCACCATCAGAATCTGACTTGTGGCAAGCAGTAGTCTTGGATATGTTCAGCACATGGATTTGCTGGTTCCGTTGGGTAGGGGATGCTTTGCATTTCAGTGCAACGGTGACTTTTCTTTGCAATTGGCACTTTTTTGTTAAATTTTCCTCTGTGGTCAGATAAGTATCATGCCTGATAGAGGATAAGCAGCGAGAGCATGGGGAGCAGTGTGGCGTCACCTCCACTTGGTGACACTGAGCCATTGGATTGGCTCAACTGTAGCGAGCTGATTTGACTTTTCATGAACTTTGCCTGGGCCACAGCATTGTTCAGATGTCTCTGGCAGGAGCACTGTTCAGAAGGGTAATGTAGCATCATGATCACTGCTCCCCTAAGTAAGGAAATTCTATGAGATCATGTATTTGTATTCCTTGTTGGAGCGTAGGGTTTGTTTCTCTGGACTTCGTTGGTTAAATTTTGACAACATGGCACTAAAACTGTTGTTCTGTCAGTATTCATCAGCTGCCCTGAAACTTCCATCTCCACTGTAGTGACTTAAGTTCTGTCGTGCTATGGAAGTACACTTGAAAGAATGCAGAATTATTTAACCTCTTGTGTCATCCACCAAACCCTCAAAGGTAGTAAGGGTGTTGGGTCCCCAAATAGTTGCTGGGCTCTGAATGAAGGTACTGGCTGGAAGGCAGTTCTCAGTTATTTGAACCATCTTTCCACAGTTGCCTTCGAGATCAGTTTGATGGCATCCTAAACCAACCTACATTGGCTGTGCCATGGTTGCATTTTTTTCCCCTTCATTGGCACCTGTCTTCATCTCACCGTGCTGTGAGCAGGTTCAGAAGGTTGCTTTGGCTTAGATCTAACGCTATTAAAAAAGTATTTCAGTTGGTTCAGGAATCTGAGCCCTTATTGCAGAAATGTATGCATGGTACTGCTAGTGCAAAGGAATCTCTTGTAAGGGATTCCAGTGCAGTGGACTTAAGCTGCTGAGAAATGGTACCAGGCCCCTTGGGTTCACAGATCAGAATCGCAGAATGGCTGAGGTTGGAAGGGACCTCTGGAGATCATCTAGTCCAACCCCCCTGCTCAAACAGGGTCACCTAGAGCATGTTTCCCAGGATCGCGTCCAGGCAGGTTTTGATTATCTCCAGGGAAGGAGACTCCACAGCCTCTCTGGGCAACCTGTTCCAGAGCTCTGTCACCCTCACAGGAAAGAAGTTGCATGTGAAGTGTTTGGAAGAGGATCTGGAGGAAAAAAAAAAAACTGATTTACTGTTACGCAGTATGTGTGGAACAGAAGATCCTATTAAGGAAACTAAGAGTAACATCAGAAATAAGAGTAACATTAAGCCTCTTACTCTTAAAATGTAACTTCCTGGACACTTCTTTTTTTCATTTTGAGTCTTTTCTGTGTAATGAAGCTGACTGATGCTCGGTTTAGCTGTTTCTGGGACAACGTCTGTTCTGTTGTCCCAGAACATACTGGGACATATGAGCATACTAATTCCTAAAGCTGTTGGAGTGGTTGCTTTGCCTCAGTGTATGGACATTAGTGCTTTGCCATTGCAGTTTCTTGGAATGAAGCTGGCTTTTGTGGTGGAGCCAACATAAAAATTGCTCTAACTTGCAACATGGCTTTGCAAAGAGCCTAAAGCAATATAAATCTGATGGAAAGCTAATAACAGGGAGGGGGAAAAAACCAGTTCTCTGGTGACTCAACCCAATGAATTGGATTTCCAAAGGGTCAGACAAGCACTAGTCTGGACACAGAGTAGGATGTGAAGGATGCCTTAAGGAGCAAGGGAAGCAGGAGGAACACCTTTGGTAGCAGCTAGCTGCCAGATCATATTCTGAGTTTAAAGCATGTTAAACCATCTTAAGCTCCTCCTTTCAGTTTGCCCAGGGAAATGGTCTGTGGAGCTGATCTTGCTGAAAAGTAATGCAAGAAATTGGTCATTCTACAGCTAAATTGGTACCTCCGTCTGTGTTGAGGTTTTTTGGTGCATGGCTGCACAAATGTCTGGCAGAAGGGAAGAGGTATGAACTAGCAAGCAGGGTTTGGAGAGGCTGGAAAAAACTACTTGGAGTTGTCTTGCCAATTTAAAACATTGCTCTACTTTTGTCCGTTCACTAAAAGAGTTAGAAAGTTTCCAAGCTCTCTACTAATCTGTCATATCAACAGGGTTATTTAGTTCTACATACCTATCCTCCTGCACAGATGCTGCTGTGTTTTCCTATTTTGTGTTTGTTTTTATGTAATGATCAACTCGCAGAGTCACACAACTTAAAAACTAAAGGTCAAGGTTTTCCTGTCTTTCCGCAATAGTTACAAATGAAACTATGCAGGTGATCTAAATGCACCTGCAGTGTTCAGAAAAGATTGAAAAGCCAATGTTTTACAATTTTTATCATGGGGCAGGCCAAAAAGTGGGGGGCTTTTGTTTTGGTTTTTTTGTTGTTTTTTTTTTTTTTTTTTTTTTTTGGAAGGAACTGAGTCTAGTAATACATTTCTCTCCATTTCAGCTGCCTGTGACACTTTATCTCAGAACGCTATTTTGGTCTCGTTTTTCCCACCTAACGTACATACCTAAAGTCTTTGGTTAGCTAAATCACTTGAGATTAACTTATGTTTTGGTGCGGGGTGGGGGGTTGTTTCGTTTTAGGGAGTGTGGTCAACGCTTCCCGTGAATGAAAAGAAGCTTAATGCCGCATTTAGATCAGCGAGGAGCGTTATTTTGATATTTTCTGTAAGAGAGAGTGGCAAATTCCAAGGTAAGCGAAAGTGACCTTTTATGTTTAATAGCTTTTCTATTGCCTCTTTGTTACAATTCATGTGAAATCCTTTAGGATTTGCAAGGCTGTCTTCAGAGTCCCACCATGGAGGATCACCTATACACTGGGTGCTGCCTGCAGGAATGAATGCAAAAATGTTGGGAGGTGTCTTTAAAATTGACTGGATTTGCAGGTAAATAATATTTCATTTGTATTGCTTTTTAGTAATGAGGCATTATAATCTCATTTCTATGTATATGTATCCTCCCTACCTCATTTCTAGGTAGGGAGGATACATATACATGTATACATGCTATACATGTACATGAGCTATAGCAAATGTTTTCTTGTGTAGACAACTAAGTCACTTAGAGATTTTTAACGCTTCATTATGTTCTGTCACTAGTCTCTTGTACTGAAATTAGAAAACTGTATTCTGAAGTCTTTGGGTAAAATCAACTGCTTGCTTGGATGGACAGTTGTGGAGAACAGAAAAAAATTTGAAGGGCAGTTCTGTCTTCAGTCAGACCTCAGAATCTGGCTAAACCAAGAAAAATGCTTTTATTTTAAAATCATTTGAAATAATATTGATATTTCCATAATATATTGGATGTGAACAGTAAGTTCATTGATTTAACTGAGTATATCTTAAAGAAAATATTTTAAATATCTCGTAAGAAAGTGAGCTATGTCAGTCCTCTGAATTCCGTGCACGGTTACATGAGCACTTGTGTTGACAAAAAGTGGAAACAGGAAAAGTGAGGCTTCAAATCATAGAAAAATCTAGGTTAGAAAGGACCTCTGGAAGCTACAGGCTCCAGCTTGCAGTTCAAAGCAGGGCTGGCTTCAAAAAGCTAGATCAGGTTGCTCAGGCCCTTATTTTCATGATGTTACTATCAAGAATACATGTAGCTACCACCTCAGGCGGAACCTGGTGAGCGTATTCAGATTTAGGTTAGTGCAATAATAAGCAAGCACAGTCTTGATATTGTAGAAAGACTTTTTTTTTTTTCCTATTAATAAGATAGGACGTCACAATATAGACTATGCTAGTTAATACTAGAATTAGTCAAAATGTAATCTTTAGTTCTGTTACCGAAACATAAACTATTCGTTCAGAGTCCTGTCAATACAAAGGCTAATGAGATTATTCTGTATGCAATGTCCTATTGTATGCATTTTTTTTACAAAGAATGGAGACAAAACTATAAATGATGCCACTTGCATATTTAGGCGTGAATTGCCCTTCACTAAATCTGCTCATCTGACCAATCCTTGGAATGAACATAAGCCAGTGAAGATTGGACGCGATGGACAGGTTTGTTCTTTTCTTCTTTTTCCTTTTTTCTTTTCTCTCCAATAATCCATTTTTAGTGCTTGCTTACAGCTTTATACATACAGAAGATTGGGTGTCTTTTAGATCAGTTCCCCCTATAAATTTAGGGGCAAAGGCACTTAGTACAGTGCCAGTTTTGTCATCTTGGCAATAAATTGTATTTGATGCTGCAAAATTGGAGATCCAAATGTAATGTGGCTTGCATTGTATGACTTCCAGAGCGGTAGAGCATTGGTTTTTAAGAACTAATTCTGGTGTTCTCAGCTGTCTTCTGCATTGTGTTGTTCTTAGCTACTGTGTTGCTTAGGGCATGGGCTGTACTATTACAAGGTATATACCTATACGTTTCAAGTGGGGTGGCTCTTTGTCTTGTGAGACATGGCAGAGTACAATTACATTGCTGCTGTCATCTGAAGTAACCTAGTCTTGATTAAAATAACTTAATAGGCTCTGCTTTCCTAAGGCAGGATGGGAGTTCCATAATGCCCATAGTGTATGGAAAACGTAGACTCCTTGAGTTATTTAGCACATGGTCGCTTTCACTGTGTTGGGTAGCAGAAGTAAAATTGAATTTCTCTTGTTCAAACTTATTGAAATCTTTTTTTGTATGACACTTAACTTGGTTTCTGTTAAATGATCAAGGAAAGATGTTTTTAAATGTTTTTGTCCACTTAACGCTATAGAGTTGCAGTCAGTATTTTTGTCTTTATAAAGTTGCAGTACCATTGGGTATAGGACAAGCATTGCATTGCATGGTGCTTATTCTCCCAGCTTCCAGCTGTTCAACTTGGTTTATTTCTTGAAGTGGTTGTGGTTTGTCCATTTACATTTTGCATAACCCCCCAGTGGACCCCTCTGCTGAGGACTCGTTCAGTCTCCCTTAGAACTTCTGTGAGCTTCTCGCATCTATGACATCCTTTGGTAAGGCGTTCCCCAAGCCTGCACTCACCATGTGGAAGAAGGGCCTCTTTGGATTGTTTTGCACCTGGCTCCTGTTAACTTCATTTGATGGTCCTATTTCTCCCCCATACTCCACAAATTCCTTTCTTTTCTAGGCTGACGAGTCCTGACCTGCTCGATTGTTCCTTGTAGGAATTGTTCCACACGTTTAGCTATCCTTGTCACCCCCTCTTTTTTTGAGATGAAGGTGTCAGAACTGCACCCAGTATTCAATGTGTGGGTGGAACATGGACTTTCAGTGTGGTATAGTGATTTTTCTTGTTCTCCGCTCCCTTTGTAACAATCCTGAACATTTTATTTGCTTTTTTTGACTGCTGTCAAGCTTTGAGCTTATGTTTTTGTGGATCTGTCAGGTCTGAGGAACTCATTTTCGAATGATAATAGTCATCTTCATCAGGCCATGGCTTTTATGAAGCTAGAATGGATTTTTTTTTTTCCTACATGTGTTACTTTTCTCTCTGTGAATAGATGATCATTTTCTTTGTGATTAAAAACAGTCCTCTGATTTTATAGCAAAGCAGTGATGTGGCCCGTGTGTCTCATGGGAAGATACGGTTCCCCCAAGTGTTGGATTATTTTATGAAAATACTAAGTAGTCACTAAAGAGTGGAAGGTAATGTAAGTGTATTTTGCTCCGTTTCTAGTGATGCTGAAAGCTCTTCAAAGTGTCTTTATGTATGTTGTCAAAGTAATTGGGGAAACTTTCTTTTCTTTTGGTTTATAAACCACTACTGAACTTTCGACTGATTCTAGGAAATTGAGCCGGAATGTGGAACCCAGCTTTGTCTTCTGTTCCCCCCTGATGAAAGTATTGACTTGTATCAAGTCATTCATAAAATGAGGCACAAGAGAAGAATGCATTCACAGCCCCGATCAAGAGGACGCCCATCCCGTCGAGACCCCGTTCGGGACGTGGGAAGGTTAGAAACGTTCTTTGGACTGATAATAGGCACATGTATCAGAATAACGTGATGGAGGAATGTGATTCGTCCAAGCTTTCCCTGCGATAAAGAAGAGAGAAAATCCTCAAATCAAGCTGCATGGACAAGTTTGTGGCTTCATTGAGGATTTCACATGGTTCCCCGGTCTGTCATTTTTTCAAGAGGAAAATGGGGATCTTTGCTTTTGCAGAAAAAAGCTCTTAAAGTGCTGTCTAGTTTAGACTAGATCCTTTATTGAGATAATGCAACGTGTAATGTTAGCTGTAGGTAAGCTTGGATTTATTATGAGCAGGCTAGATCGAGAGGAGGAAATCTTTATATGCCAAAAATGTGTTAATATCTTGTAAAAGCCTTTTCTTTCAGGTGTGTCTCTGGATAAGCGTTATCAAATATGGGACTTTTATAAGGATCACTTAAAATTTTGCAGAAGATGCCGCCTCATTTTGAGGATAAAATATTTAAGTTATTTTGATATTCAAGAGGAGCATTATTGGGACTGTTTCAAATTGTGTCACCGTGATGTGTTAACCCCATTGCCAAATATTCTCTAACATGTAACCACTGAAATCACACATCTTGCTGAGCTTCTGAAAACAGTAGGCCCTTTCCAAAAGGGATCAAGTGGCCCTTGGAGACCCGGCAACAAACCAAAAAGAATGGCTGTTGCTGTGTCTGTATATACAACCTTTCCAGATGCTGGCAGTACCTGTGGACTTTTAAAGTATTTTTAGAGGATCGACATGGTTATTGATCACTACTATATGAACTTAACATCATTATCCAGAAAAAAGGGGGTATAACTTGTTACAGAATTGGAGAAGTCTTTGCAAAGAACTGATGTTAGCCCTTCTGCCAAACACCTTTTCCCTGTGTAGCCACTTTGCATACAGACTGATGTATGGTTTGGGCTGAAACCTTTGGTTAAGTTTCCTCTTTGTGGAAACGTCCTGTGGTAGGTACAGATGCCCAACAAGAGTCCCTATTTCCTTGAGCTTAAAGGACACTGTAACGAGTAGGTAGGAGGAAACCTGGCAGCGCCCCCCTATTTTTGGCTTTAAAGGACTGAACACCAAGATGGCTTTTGAAGTTAAGCTAAGAGGTTTCCAGTGCAATAAAGTATACACAAGTGAAGGTTTTGCAATGGACTGCAAACTATACATATAACACCACCACACCTTCTCAAGCCTGCCAGGGCCTCCATTTATGTATGTGGCTTACAGCTTAAAGTCAGTAGTTGGACTACTATATGAACTGTTACTATCATATATTATACCGGTCGTAAATGCACTCTCAAAACTACAAGAAAGCGGTATGTTTATTCTTTACACCAGCTTTTATTTTTCTTGATCTGATTTTGCTGTAGATGCAACTGCTTTGTTTTTTGGGGGCCTTTTACTCAGAGTAAAGAATCTGCTTTCATTTTAAAAAGCTTAGTAACTGGGTATGGTGGGCTTTAAAAATGGAAATTGGGAAGAGGGTGGAGAAATGACTTGAAAACTAAAAGAAAAGCTACATGAGCTTGTTAATCACTGAGCAAGTTGCACAGCAATTAAGTGATTTAAGAAAGTGTCGATTTCATGTCTTTGTCATAAGGAATTATACTTGCTGATGGGGGAAAAGTGATTTTGTAGCTGAATGTTTAAAAACACTTCGGTATTAGCATTCAAGTCTCCCATTAATGTTTATGTATTTTGACAGAGTGAAACTAGCAGTTGGTTTCCAGCTCTTTTATTAGAGGTAACAGCAACTGGAACGGAACTGTTTTATAAACAAACTTCCTCCATGAGAGTGAAGTTCTTAAAGATACCACCTGCTCTGAAAGAGAGCTATTCTGGTATAGAAAGGAGTTCTAATTAATAATTAGGAAGATTAAGTGTGCCTAAATTTTTTTGTGAAAGGCACTGAGGCATTACTGGTAAACTGCTTAAAATAGAAGTTATGTTGTCGTTCTGCCAAGTTAGACTGTAGTGCGAGAAGTAGATTTGCAAAGCATGCACAATTTTCTGGAAATGCTCTGGCAAATGTTCTGAAAGTAGAGCTTTTATAGAATTCTTTGCCCAATAGCTAGCAAATTTAGCAATGTCCATGCCTGCTGAATATAATGTTACATTTTACAGTCTATTTTAACTGTGTTTAGTTGTGTAAGTCTTTTTTTTTTTCCTTCTAATAAGTTGACTCAAAATGTAATACGGAAAGTATAATGTTAAAGCATAAGTTTGATTTTATTTTAGACAAATTTTTTACTTTTTGGTATTAAGGTACATTTGGGGAGAATTCCTTCCTTAACTACCAAAGCTTCTGTAGCCAGAAAATAACAGTGAACGGTATTTAATCTGACTATTGTTTCTGATTATTTGAGTTTAAATTTGAAGCTGTAGAATATTTTGAAACAGATGGAATTCAGAATGATTAAATGGAGATCCTGGGTAGCTCAATCTATTCCTGTGAGGTATTCTGCTCTGACGATTCTTCAAGCAACCTTGTTTAATCTCTAATATCTAATTTGTGTAGGCGTCGACCAGAGGATTATGATATTCATAACAGCAGAAAGAAACCAAGGATTGACTATCCCCCTGAGTTTCACCAAAGACCAGGTTAATATCTTACTATGAAGATTTGTGTACACCCATTCACAAGCGTTTTCCCTTTCAGTACATCCTCGTGAACGTAAAAGTAAAATTTGAGAGAGGTTGTGTAATTCTTCAGCCTTTCACTACTGGGGATCCTCTCAAGTCCTTTGTCAATATAGGTAGTTGAAATGCCTGCCAGTCGCTACAGTTGGCTGGACCTACTTGTAAATGCACTAATCTTCAAATTGAAATGTTTTATCAGAGATTTCCAACTGGGAAGGTCAGCTGAGATTGCCTGACTAGTAAGCCATGTTTAGAGATGATGGTAGACATTTGGTTGTGTTTTCAGAGAGAATTTTTAAGCTTGACATTTAACAAGCTTTTGGGGGAGGGGGAGTGTTTCATTGTACTTCACCAGGAGGATCTCATGATGGGTTTCTGTTGTTCTCCAGAATTAAAATGTTTGCAAGGGTAATGCAACAGCTGTGCTAGTAATATTGCAGCTTTGTTTTCTTTTTCAGAAAGCAAGAATTAGGAAGTGGTCAGTTGTAATCCACTGAGTCTTACTTCACTGCTGTTAGAAATATATGTTCCACTAATTCCGTAGTAGATTTCTAAATATTTCGTAAGAACCTGCGCTTACCTGTGTCCTACTTGACAGCAAAGCCTGTGTTCTCTGACGCAAAAGAATGTTGTTGCTGCTCCATGGCTTTCCAAGACAGTTATTTAGAGTGCAAGACAAAATTTTTAAAATAGCAAAGCACAAAAGTATTATTTTATTAGCACCAGAAGCACGCTTAGTGTTTTGTATCATTTTGCTGAGCTGAAGGTTTACTTCCAACAATTTACTATGGCTGTAACAATTCATTGTCCTGTAGGACCTTTCCAGATGTTTTAACCTTATTTTTAATTTTCTAAAAGATTTTGTATACAGAACCTGTTAGGAAACTGGATTT